ATATAAAATATTTTAATAATATAAATAATATAGAATTGTTAAAATAAAATAGGAATTTTATTTTATTTTTTGAAATTTTAATTTTTTTTTTTTAAGATTTTAACTTTTAATATTCTATTTTAAAAAAATTATAAGCTACCGATATCTTATCCCATCACCATCATCATGGCAATGGCATCATCTGAGATGATGATGATGGTTCACATGTATATGTTAGAGACAGCTTCAACATGAATCATTTCTTTTTGTTTGAATTAGGTTTTCACCCTTTATCATAATTACTTTTAGGAACTAAATGGATTTTATTAATTTATTATGCATTTTATTCATGATATTTATCATTTAATATCTATTGTGATGATAGTTTTCATACATAACATTTAAATTGTTTAACTATTTTAATAAAGTATTTTATAAAACTTAAATTTATAGCAATAAAAAATAAAGCGTCTTGTCTAAAAATATTACCATAAATTATATAGACATTGTAATAAATATTTTAGATTTTTTTAAAATAAAATATTATATAAATTATTTTATGGAATGTTATTTTGAACAAGTGCTCTGTGAAAATAGATTTAGAGGACATCTCTAAAAAATATATTATATAAAATAGCTAATATGATAATTTATTTTAAAAATATTTTAAAGAATTTGTTACGATGTCCAACGTCCTATAAACTTATTTACTTTTAGATTTAACGTTTTATTTTTTTGACTCTTCGGATATAGGTCCTATAAAACACTTAAAGAATCTCCTATAAACCTTTGTAATGTTTATAAACATTCATCGTGAATAGACATGACACCTTGTTTTCTTACATAATGTTTCTACCAAATTTTTGGCATGACCTATTCATAAAGTTGTCGTATCCCTGTGCATGTTAGACATGATACATACCTACCACATAAAATCCAAACCAGAAACGGGTGTTAGTGCAATTTCTACGCCAACTAATTACAAATGTTATATGAAAATATACCGATTGTGTTAGTACAAAATCTACCGAATAGTATCTTGAACTGATCTTTATTCCACATTTGATATTTATGATGAAGATGCATGATATCTATAATAAGTAGTTGGTTTTAGGAATCATAGAAAACCAATCATAATATTAGCTTCTAGATTCAAACTTACGTTTGAACCAAAAACCGAATTGAAATTCAGTTTGTCCAGAGAATTGGACAACCCACACATATTCCGTTTGGAGGGTTGAGTTCTAATGAGAAGAAGAGTTAAGGTGAAAAACGTAAGAAATAATATTCACCATCGGATGCACATTAAAATGAGATATACCGAGATGATATGTACCAGATCAATCCTCGTATCAAAGTTGATCAAAGGTTCAAATCACTTCTTACGTTTCTCACCTTAACTCTCATTCTCGTACAATCTTTCACCTCCGTTTCAATACCCCTCATATGTTAGAGCATCCCTAGAATACTGATTTTATGGTTTTTATATATCTACCGTAACAAAAAGATTTCTTAAACGTCTTCATAGCTTTCTGGTAAGATTTAAGATCACCATATTTAATTCATGTGATTTTTAATTTTTTATATAAATAATATCTATTTATATCGAAAAATTGTGATCACATTAATTAACTAATTATTTAAGTGTATTAATACAATATACAAGATACATTAAAAAGTGAAATTATAAAAATTTGATTTCCAAGAAATCCATAAAAAATCAATAAAAAATCGTACAAAAATCAAGGTTCTAAACAGTGTAATGTGGCGGCGAGATCAAGCCTCAATCATTACAAGTTACGGCGAGGTCATGACATTTTCCAAGGCATAGCTTAAGGTGGCAAATCTATATATAATATGTGTATATATATATATATGTATGCATGTATCTATGTTTATGTCAATGTCTTGAACAATAATGATTAAGTTATTAATAATTTGTATTCATATAAAACAATAAGAAACATGAACTGATAATTTGATATCAAATATACAAAGTTTACAAAAATGATATCAAATATACAAAGTGAGTCACTTTTTATAGTCCCTCTTTGGTAATCAAACAACAAAATCCAAGTAATAAATGAAATCAAAGAACATCAAATGAACGTATTCGAACATATTTTTCGTATGTTGAGAAGCAGTTTAGGGTTTATTTTTTTTCCATTTTGTTGATTAATTATTTATTCTGTATAAATTATAAAAGTTACATTTACATTTATTCTTATTCAAGTTTAAAAATTGCAAATTTCCCCACGCCTTATAACGTCATATCCTTGTAACGCCATATCGCGCCATGGCATGCCATAAGGATTCATAACGAGTTTTGCACCTTATATTGACACTATGGAGGTTAACGTGACGACAAGGTTAGACGTCATAACGTGCCATGACGTGTTTTTTTTAGAACATTGATAAAAATATGTGCAAATTACTTTTTGTTTTATTAATTTAAAAATATTGAGAAAATAATATTTCTTCAATTAAATATCTATTTTGCATTAATTAGTTATCATTATTAATTTATATATTATTCATTATATATATATATATATATATATATATATATATACTTTTTTGAATTTTCTACGAAAGTTATATTGAATATGAAAATCTCATGAAAAACCTTCGAACCTAAAACCACCCACTATGCAAAGTAAAACTCTCTAAAAACACCCCTCTCCGTGGATGCTTTATATGTATTGTTTTTGGTTGAGGTGAAAAAATAATTCGAATAATGAATAAAATGTTTTATATGCATTAAACACTTGTACATCTACGAAAGCTTGGAATGGCGAGTGCATTGGAGACGTTGTGCGGGCAAGCGTTTGGAGCAAAAAGGTACAACATGATCGGAATATATATGCAAAGGTCGTGGATCGTTCTATTCATATGTTGTCTCATAACATTGCCACTATACATATTCGCCACCCCGATCCTAAAAGCATTAGGTCAACCCGACGACATTGCTGAGCTATCCGGGAAAGCCTCACTGTGGTTGATCCCGCAACACTTTACCTTTGCGTTATTGTTCCCAATGCAACGGTTTTTGCAAAGCCAGCTCAAGACTCCGGTGCTGGCATGGGTTTCGTTGGTGAATCTCGTGATTCATGTGTTGATTACTTGGCTCTTTACGTCTGTTTTTAAGTTTGGGCTTGTGGGGACGGTGGTGGCTTTGGATATTTCGTGGTGGTTGAATGTCGTTGGGTTGTTTGTGTATACTCTTTTTGGAGGGTGCCCTCTGACATGGAACGGTTTCTCGATGGAAGCATTTTCGGGGTTGTGGGAGTTCGTCAAACTTTCGGCCGCATCCGGCGTCATGCTTTGGTATAATTCTCCCTAATTTACGACTCGTTACATGTATTTCCAATTCATTAATGAATATGACTAAAGTACACTTTTTTTAATGCAGTTTGGAAAACTGGTATTATCGAATACTGATACTAATGACTGCATTGGTGAAGAATGCCACCATTGCTGTTGATGCGGTGTCGATTTGGTATTAACTTCTTATCTTATTAAATTTAATTATAATAATTTTATTCATGCATAATAGCAATATTTGATCATAAATTAAATGACTAAAATACCCTTTTAATTAACGTTTGGAATAATATTTGCAGTATGAATATTAATGGTTGGGAAATGATGATCCCTCTCGCCTTTTTTGCCGGGATCGGGTACGTATTCTCGTCTTTGTTTTTAAAGAGAGAATATATTAACAATTGTTGTATAATTTGATTTACGATAAATATATTTTGTATCAATAATAATCAACGCACATATAATCATGTTTATAGAACGGTAATAATTTGTGACATTTGACAAAATCAGATTCTACACCATTTTTATCGAGTTATGCCTAGATAATAAACAAAACGTCTCGTCTTTTTCGTATATAATAAATGTAAGATCATGGTTATTAGAGACAACCTTACGACATTTAGCATTGCATCACAGTCGTGATTGACTATAGACCTAATTTTTTGAAGACGTATAATAACATCATTTAAATCAGTACCGAAGTGTCCTTGTTGCAGTACGTTGTAAGGGACATTTAGGCACCTAATTGCTTTCATCATTTATTGTGTATAACTCAACCGGTAAGAACTTGGGTTTCCATCCAAGATATCACCTTGGTTAGTTGAGGTACACACGTACACTGGTTTGAATACCCACTGTTAAAAAAAAAATCACACTACAACAAAATCGGATTTGTAGGACACTCCCAATTTCTAAGCTAATAGACCTATTTATAAGACTTAGTTTATAGGATTAAAAAAATAAAGCGTCCTATCTAAAGGTGTTGTAATAAGTTTATATGACGTTTTTTGACGTCATAATAAGTTTTTTAGAACACTTTCAATATAAATCGTCTCATTAACAACTTTATAGGACACTATTTGAAAACTGTCATATAAAAACAAATGTCCTATAAAAAATTGAGTTTATAGGGCACTGTCTCAAAAGTGTCCTATAAAGTTGCTAATGCGACACTTTGTATTAAAAATGTCCTAAAAAACTTGTTAAGATGTTCAAAAGCGTCATATAAACTTATTACAATACCTTTAGATAGAACGTTTTATATTTTTGTCATATAAATTAAGTCCTATAAAGTGATCTATTGAGACGCTTAGAGATTGAGGGTGTCCTATAAACCCAATTTTGTTGTAGTGTCACATTTTTATATTTTACGGTTGGTATAGTTATTATGTGTCTTTTGAACAGAACTGTTACGAGCTTGGGATTTATCATTAATATATCATTACAGGGTAAGAGTATCTAATGAGCTTGGCGCTGGTAATGGGGAGAAGGCAAAGTATGCAACTGTCGTGGCAATATTGCATTCAACTGCTATCGGGCTCGTATTTTGTGTATTGATAATGGCATTGCATAACAAGTTCGCTCTCATATTCTCGTCGAGCACGCTTGTTCTTGAAGCGGTTGATCATATGGCTTGGCTCTTGGCCGTCACCATCCTTCTCAACAGTATCCAACCAGTAATCTCAGGTAAATTCTCGATGCCTTAGTTAACGGTTAATCACTAAATGATGGGTCCCATCACAAAACAACAAACTTTTTCATTGTTTTACACAAAATAGCTACCTAACTCACAAAGCTAGATTTTGGGAGCCGACCATTTTTTGGTGGCTAGACCTTATAAGCATATTCGTACAATCGTGATTATTTGATGAAGGAAAAAAGTACAAAATGTACTTTTGCACACCTTCCCTGGCTTTTTAAATACAATGGGTCATTATTGACCTCAAAGGTTGTACAACATTCGTTTGAGATATTATCTCAAATCGGCAAAAAAGCGGTTAGCTCGCAAAGCCACTGAGCTAGGTGGCTATTTCGTTGTCTATTTGTAAGGTTCTAAATGGCATGAGATGTGACATGACGAGGTTAAGTCTCAAGTCTTGGGAGTTGTAGAGAAGCCACGACGTTTTTCAAGACATGACTTATGGTGGAAAATCTGTCTCATATATAATATTGTATATAAAAATATATGTTTTCTTTTTGTTACTTGATAAGTCAAAGATATTAAACAATTTAAATCAAGTTATATATTAAAAATCTGAACAAGTAAGACACGAAAAAGGTAAGAAATCAAATATTTTGTAACAAAAACCATACATTAGGCCATAGCATGTCACAGGTTTAACGTGACGTCAGGCGCAAGAATCAAGTCACGGTGCTACGAGGACGGTTACGTGAGACGTGCCTTTAGAACATTGCTATTTTGTGATGGACCCCAATTTGGCCAGGGTTCTTTTAATTAACCCATTATCTAATGGGACTACGACATATATACAGTTGTGCACGAAAACGATTCCTCATGCATCGTTCTTTTTTACTGATCAACATTTATTACAGGGGTTGCGGTGGGGTCGGGATGGCAATCATGGGTTGCGTATATTAATTTGGGCTCATATTATTTGGTTGGTGTACCTCTGGGAATTGTCTTCGGTTTGGTTTTACATCTTGGCGTCGAGGTATTTATATTATTTTGTAAAATTATATTATTTTTCCGGTATCCTTCAAAAATTGTAAAATAATTTAATTGAAAAATAGGGAATATGGGGAGGAATGGTATTTGGTGGAACCTTGTTACAAACGATCATATTAGGGATAATCACTCTTCGATGCGATTGGGAGAAAGAGGTAAAACTCGATTTCGTTATTTAGTTTTGTGAATTTAACTTGAAATTTAATATATAATTATTATTTATATTTGTTTATGCAGGCTCGGAAAGCAGTATTAAAATATTCGAATCTAAAATAGTTCGGATTCCTGAAGGTTAATTTGGTTATCAACTTAATGGTCCGAGGAATGCGCAAGCTGCTGGTTGGGTCGGACATTTGCAATTATCAAATCTCCAAGTTCAAGTTCTTAATTGATCAAGATTTTAACATTTCTTATCATCTCATAAAGATTTTGTAATAATTGCATTTGGGTTTTTAGGTTGTATTGATACGATTTATATGAGATTCAGTTTCTTAGCAATGTTGATGATCGAGCAAACTTGGTAACTTAGTTGAAACTGAAAAGCGTGATTGAACATTGAAAATTAAAATACTCTTTTATTGGAGTTACTGAATCCATAATAGAATAGATGTAAAAAAGGTTATTTGACAGTATTTGAAATACATTATGAATGTTAATCAGAATGACTAGGTCGAGCTTTTGGATGTGACTTATGAAAGAGTGAATCGACAATTCAGTTGATCTAAACTTGCAATGAGGCAATATCTTACTCCGCAAACTAGTATAAATACAAACCAGATAATCGGACATGTCTTATGGAAGGCACACAAAGGATTGTTATGCATATGCAAGTGAAATGAATGCACCGCAACAAAACTTTTGAACGTTTAACTATAACAAAATTGGGTTTATAGAACAACTAGAATGTCTATGCATCCTAATAGAATACTTTATAGGACTTACATTTATAGAACCAAACTATAAAGTGTCATATCCAAAAGTGTTACAATAGGTTTGTAGGATGTTTTGACGTTTCAATAAGTTGTTAGAACATTTTTAGAATAAAATGACGTATTATTATTTTATACGATATTATTTGAAAAATATCTTATAAAGCCATCTTTTTGCAGAGTTCTACAAGCTTGTTAAAACGTGCAAAAACCTCCTATAAACCTATTACAACACTTTTAAACATGACGTTTTTTTTGTTTGGTCCTATAAATTAAACTCCTATAAAATCCCATAAACTAAAGTTATATAAAGCATATTCTGTTATGTTGTTTGTTTGACGATGTACAAAGTCCTCATACATAAAGTTTACGGAAGAAAAGAGAAATATTACTAAAAATTTAGCCATCCAAAATATTACAATTAGTTAAATGTCTTACGTTCAATATAATGTGAAATATTACTAAAGTTTGTTTAAAAGATGTCAAACAATCAGTCGTTAAACATACTCTTTGCCCCCACTTTGGTTAACTCTTTCAATTTAATCATGTAATACAAAAGTACTATTTTTCACTAATTTCAAACACATATAGAGTCTTTTTAAAAAGTGGAGGTTCAACCTCCCATTTTCTTAGATTGCTTGTTTTGTTATTGTCTTTGCATTTACGTGACCTACAAGTATTGTGCATTGTTCAATTCGCTCCCATGCATATAACAAAAACACAAACACTTGACAATTAACATGAAAAAGAACAAAAGTTTAAGTTTAGATTGGTTACTTATTAAAACAAATCAAATGATGCTCTAAATGTAAACACTCACCTTAATCACAAAAGAGATGGAAGACTTTAAGCAGCAACAAATTTTCAGATAAATATCACGTAGATTTCTTCTTCTTTACTTCTGTTTTTTCGAACCCAAGAAACACAGAACACCGTCACCAACTTATCTTATCTCCAAAAACCCCCAAAGGATAATAAAAAGGGAAAAGTCCAAAAAAACCCAATGGACTTTACTGTTTGGAACGATTAAGTCCTTGAACGATTTTTTGAAACAAATAAATCCTTGAACATTCTAGAACATGTTAAATAAGTCATTTGACTTTTTAAAACATGTTAAATAGATACTCATTCCTTAAAATTGTAACATGTAACCTGAATAGAAGGTAACCTTAAATTAAAAAAAAAATCCTAAAAACTGACTACTCATCTCCCTCTCGTGACCACCGCCTCCTTTCCTTCTCCTTCTCCCTCTCGCACACCGTCGTCTCCCTCACTCCCATCGCTACCGCACCACCCCCGTCGCCGCCCTGTCTTTGCCTTCTAATCAGGTTTCAACTTTTTTTATGAAAGCTTCCATTTCTACGCATTATTCTTACTGGGTATGTGACTTTCTGCTTCCATTTCTATGCATTAATTTTGTAGTTTTGATTGGGCAATGTGCTCTATTTGAACTAATCACTAAAAAAATTTATATAATTTTTTTAGGTTTCTTTTTCATCCGGTGATTCATGCACCCTTTTATCAATTTTCTTCTTCATAACCCTAAACCCTCATCTTTTTACAGTACCACCATGGAATTTTAGGTGAAGGGAGTGATTGGTTCATGGAGAAATTCTGAATTACCTCAAATTTCAATTTTTTAGTTGTTTACTTAGTGATCATCATTTCAAGTTTATGCTTAATTGTGAGTCAATTTCTTGATTTTCTCTTAGTGTATAATTGTGTTGAATTGGTCAAATTGTTACATGCGATGTCGTTTTGGTGAACTAAAATCTTACCTGGTAAGTAAATAGCAGTGTTAAATTTTACCCGTAAGCACTTACCGGGTAAACACTTACCGGTAAGTAACAAATGAATGTAAAGTTTTTAAGATCATTATCTGATTGAATAATATATAGAGGACATATGTTATATAGGCGAAGGATATTATGAGAATGAGTGTTAAAAGTGAGAAGTGTAAGAAGGATATGGACCCTTTAATCTCAAACTCACTAATGAATCGCACTTGATACGGGGACTAATCCGGTGCATCTAAGTGCATCTCATCTTAAAGGTTTCTTCTTATGCTTCTTGTTTTAACTTTCATTATTACTGGAATCCAACCCTATATTTATATATAATTATATATATGACACACAAATTTATCGCCTTATATCATGCCTTAAAAATGCCATGTCCTTGTCATTATGTGTAAAACTTGACATCGTCATCACACCGCGCCTATTTTGAACCTAGTTGTTAACATCACAATAATAGGTTAGCTTATTTTTTAATTTATTAAAAGGGCTCGTTAAGGACAAAATGTAAATGTTTACGGGTAAAATTTAACACTATTATTTATTTACCCTATTTTGAACCTAATTGTTAACACCACATCATTTGTTACTTCAATAACTAAAAACTGAAACATACCATAGGATTCAACCATACATTTTCTCAGCTTTATAACCAATGTCATGTTCCTCCATGGGGAGAATCCTAACAACTCCAATGCAACTAACAAAAATTCCACCAGCAACCACAATTTTCTTCCACCTGAAATTTCAGCAGTCATCCACATCGTCAAATTTCAGTTTTTTAGTTGTTTACTTAGTGATCATCATTTCAAGTTTATGCTTAATTGTGAGTCAAATTCTTGAATTTCGCTTAGTGTATAATTGGTCAAATATTTGGTAAACGACCCCTTACACATAAGTACTTACCGGGTAAGTATTAATGATCAGGCATTAATTTTTTTTCCATTTGATTTTGTGTAATCTGGATTCCATGATTCTTTAGGATAAGTGTTTTAATAAATGGCTTATATGTGTTATATATTTTCTTTTCATTTGTGAATTTGTAACATCATTTTGTGTCATCCTTTCTAGAGTATGATAGGTTTTGTTTTCATCGGTGAATCTTGATGAAATTGTTATTCTTGTTACAGAATGATATCGATTGCGATGATGATTATATTGAAGAACATTATGAAAGTGATGATGTTGTTAGACATCAAGAAGGGTTACAAAAAAGTCAAATGACTATATCTCCACCAGAAATTAATGATGCAAATGAAGAATAGTTCATACCATATCTTAACATAGATTATGCATTACTTTGGTATATTTGGCGCAATTGTTGGTATTTTTGGCACAACATTTGGTATATTTGGCGCAATTGTTAGTATTTTCTTGGCGTAACTTTTGTTACATATTTTGGTTAAACTTTTGGTATATATGTTGGTTTAACTTTTGGTAAAATTATGCCCAAAATTTGTATACAAATTATTATGTTTTGGATACAACTTTTATATGTTTTGTGAAGAGTAATGTGAATGATATATTTGTTTTTTTTATAAATGTAAGTACTTTTTTCGTTCAAAAATTGTTTAAGAACTTGATCATTCAAAATGTTAAAGTCCATTGGTTTTTTCGGACTTTTTCTACTAACAAAATGTATTTAACATATTTTAGAAAGTCCAAGGATTTATTTAACAGGTTTGTAATGTCCAATGACTTATTTAGCAGGTTCTAGAATGTCCAAGAATTTATTTGTTTCAAAAAATTGTCCAAAAACTTAATCGTTTCAAACAGTAAAGTCCATTGGGGTTTTTTTGGACTTTTCTCTAATAAAAAAAAAAACATATAAATATATGAGGCGGTGAAGTGATGAGATATTTTAAACACATTTTTTAAAACTCATCCCTCAACTTTCACCACTTAACTATAAACAATCCCCACACTTTCAATCAAATTTTAATAAGAACCCCAAACTTTTATAACCATTAACCCGATTATCACATAAATAGACAATTAGATAGATTCAGACATTTATCACTTTTTAAAAATAAACAATTTTATTGATTATGTTTCTAGACTTCAGCACCACTTTTATCGATCAGAAGTGAAGTAAGACTTCAGCACCATTTTTATCAATCAGATATGTAAAGTAAGACTTCAACACCTCTTAATAAACAAACAACATCTTAGACTTTTATTTCAACTCCCATGTTCATTATACTAATCAACAGTACCACATTCCAATCAATCATGTGGGACTTTTGGGGCTCGGATTGGATTGTAAAAGAGGAGGCGATGATGTACCATCTCAAATGATGTCTACGAAGACGAATTTATTATCAAGTACTATGTTGACAACAATGGTGATTCAAAGGTTTCTTGTGATTTTCTTCTGATGAAAATAATATAAGTATTGATGTCTATGACAAATCCCTAAAGCAACAATGCGGTGATTCCGATAACAATACATGTGAGTGGCTTGTGTTAAGCGATGGTTTTTATATTTACGATAACAATCAATCAAAATTTAACAAAATATATAATTATTGATTAGGTTTACTTATTGTGATGTATAAACGATATACAAGTAACCTATTAGAACTCAAGTTTATCGTTTTATTTGTTCTTTTTTGAGTTATCTATGTATGCATTTCGTTATAATGTCTTATTTCAAATTACAAATATATTGCATGTAATTTATACAAATAAGTTAATCATACCTATTGAAATCAATGTTATTAATGAACCTCAATTCAATTGCCATTTTGACATAACATATTTTTTAAAAT